CCATATTATATCATTACTATATATATATATATATATATATATATATATATATTTGTTTCTCGAAGCTTCAAGGACTGTTTTATTATTAATGCCAGAAATATTGGATATAGAGCATTTGCCATCATTGTCATGTCCATTTACTGGGTGTGGTGGTAGAGACGATGTGCTGTTGGGCACCTGACACGTTACATGATATGTGTCTTAGGCTGAGTTGTACTGCTGGAATCCACAATCCTCACTGTCAGGCCCGTTTGTGATAGGCACGTAGACGTTGATTCCATCGCGGGAATCCTCTGCTATTAATAAAAAGAAAAAAAAGAAAAAAAAGAAAAAGAAACAAAAAGAAAGAAAAAAAAGAAAGAAAAAGAGAATAAAATTATTATTTCTTTAGAACTACCCATTTGCTCGATAAGTAAATTCTGACAATAAAATTTATACTTGCTGAATTTTCTATGTTGCAACTCTAACTCAGGCCAAAGAATGAACCTTCTTCCGGCAAGAATTTCTCCGCTTAATTCCTTAATATTGTTATAAGAACAGCAGGACGAAAAAATACCTTAACGAAGGCTTGAATGATCAAAGTGGCCAACGACGGGGCTGACACTAATTGAGAACACACCAAGCCAAAAGACGTTACAAATGCATATCGAGTCCTAAGGGGGGTAATAATTACATGAAGAGTTCCAATTAAGAGAAGTGATGCATATGACAAACATATAACCTTCCAATATAATAGAATACTATTTTTGTCTTCTGCTTTTTCACGGAAAGCTCACCATTTGTCATAACAAAAAAAAAACTGACACTCGGCGGTAACCAGTATAAGGTACATAACTCTAATGGGTCAAAACATTACAAACACATGTTGTATTATATAGTAAGCTTTATATTTTAAGTAGCCAATGGATTTTCTTTTTTCTGTTGTTCAACCAATACAATGCCCAAGAGTCACTCAAGATAGAGAGTTATTGTATGAGGTTGTTGAAAGTAGATAACCATTGATCTGAAACTTGAAGATTATAGTGGTCGAGGAAGCAACGAAGGTGGGGGTGGAGAGTTTCACAATGTAGCAGTTCTTGGGAAGAATCTGTTCGAATGGAACTTCCTCTTTACTAATGGAAAACGAAGTGAATGAGAATGACTCGACCTCGTGTACATGACATGGAGAGTCTTAGCTGGGAAAGTCAGGACTTATATTAGTTTTTATTAATATAAGCGTCATTTTAGTTGAAAAATGTGTTTGAGTTTACCGAAGTCCGACTAAAGAAAAGATGTGGTTTTCCGTGTCCTAATTGGTAGCGATCACTTCGACAAAACGAATGGTTTCCCCGATGGCAAAAAAAAAAGAAGATATGTTCGATTCTTGTCGGGAAGCACGATTTTGTGGAGTAGGACTTCTCGTTCTCGGCCGGTCTACATTAATTTCATTGTTACAAATAACAGGTGTGTCAATTCAAACATACGTGTCCTCTCAGAATTGTAACCCACGTAAAAATCGAACAAACAAATGTGCTAGGTTAAAACTTCATTTTCAACAAAAACATTTTTAATTCTTTACATTATTAAATGAATATCAGAAAAATGATATAACAATTTCTTAAAACCTCTTTACTAAGAATATCACATAACACAGGATCAGTTATTTATTTCTTAAAAAGTCGCTTATTCTGGATAATTGTTTTGACGACCGAACGTTTTATTTATTTTTCATAATTACAAAAGGCAGATACCTATTCGGTAACAACTGTGTAATACATTTAAATATCCCAACATTCTTTAAATAAAGCCTAATGTTAATCTTTTGTAATTACACATATGTCAAAGAGAGTTTTTCTCTCTAGAAATAGATTAAAAATCCATTTTGTGATGAAAAAAAATCAAATATCTTTATAGCGATTGACTTTGATGATAACGTTTCGAAAAATAAAATTTGCGTCTAGAATTCAAGTTTGGATTGTGTAATGAAAGCCCATATAGTTCTAATGTATTCAGAATAAGCAAGCATCGAGTTTCTTCTGTACGCAGTCCCATTACCAGTCATTGAAATTATTGATTCGCCATGATTTTCGAGAAGATGATAGACTGGATAATAGAATCAAAAATTTAGGTTAAATTTAGGATGTATTTATTCACATTAAGCCCATGTATTTACGAAAAGCATCAATTAACTTATTCATGGTCTTTATCACTTTACAAAACCAAGGTCTCGTTAATTGCATGTCATGATAGATAACAGAGAAACATTCAATCAGGTGAGAGATTCTTCCTTGTTACTTGTTCTCTGAAACCCAATTTACAGGATAAGCACTCATTTTTGGTGACATTAACCACACAGCGTAAAGACACTAACGGATTTGTCGGCCCCGGGGCTAGGCTTCTTGTTCTACAAGCTGTATCTGTTAAGGACGTGGGTGTTATCGCACTCCACAACTTCCTATCTACCAATTTTAAATTTGTTTGCTATTTGTTTTTGTTTTTTTAACCAGTTGCTATCTGAGTTCTGTTCTCCATTTATACAAGCACGTTAGGATCGCTAACTCGCTGCATTCATCTGTCCGTTCTTCTTTAATCTTATGAGTTTCAAAATATCTTAGAATTCTTTTCTCGTTGTTTTCGCCTGTGTCTTTTTGATTTCCTGCATATTTACCTGTTTTGTCTCCATTGTTTACATGGCGCTAACCAATACTTTATACATCATCAAGTATCAGTTCCAAAATTGACGGCCGACTGGTTGCAATAAATGTAAAAACAGTTAATTATGTTATCGTTAAATTATTATTGCATTTCAAAACTTATCAATTGTACATAATCAAATAGATTTTAGAAGTATTAAAAATCAGTTTCATAAAGAATTTTACGTTTTCTGTAAAAAGATGCCAAATGTTACCTATGTACTTCTGAATGCAATGAACATTGCTTTATTTCGGTATTGATATTGGAGCTACTATAAAACTTCATTGATGAAAAATAAAATCATATCATGTGTTTCAATTGATTCAAGATTAAATATCCAGGAAATACTACTGATATCTATGAGTTTATTAAATATATCGATCGATATATGCCCAGGTCCCAAAATAGAACGTGTATCGACAGTACCCACTCCCCATATTATTGGTATTTATACTTATTGGGCGTTAACACGAACCCGTATTCTCGCGCGTATAAAATCACCTAATTACCATCCTGTAATATACGATTGCAGGTCCATTTCATGATATGTAAATAGCTAATCGAATTATGAACAAAGAAAGATCTTCATCTTGTCATATCTTTAGACTGTTTTAATTGATATGATTTTCATCATAATTAAGATAGATAAGCCAAAATATCAAAAGAGAACAAAGTACCCCTACATAATTGCTGAATCTTGATCTGTCAGTTAAGTGCCATAACTGATACATGCTTGGTCGATCTTGTCTCTCCACAACTGTTGACTCTTTCAGTTAAGTGTCATACGTGATACACGTTTGGGCGATCATGTCTCTTTCGATTCATGACTGACGAGGTAGAAGATTTTCCCGCACTAGATTTCCGTTTCTTTCTGCGGTCGAGTCCTTGCAAATCAAGGTTATAGGGCCCAGTCTGCTCTGCTATATAACCCATAACTGGTGGAGGCGAAAGAGGATTCTTACCTTTCCCAAGTTTATTTGCGCGTAAGTGATTGTAATGAACCCGATTGGAATTCGAACTCCGCTCTCCCAATTCTCATTCCGTGCCGTTATCGATCCAAATATATTTTTCGGGTTACTTTTTTTTCTTAACAAGAAATTTGTTCTGACGTAGATTTTAAATTTAGTAATTCCTTGTCGATTGTCTTCGACTGGAATTGGAAGATTGGAATTTAGTAACCGCAAAAATGTTAATTAAAATAAATTCGAAATAAATAAAGTAAATTCCTTTTCTGAGACAATTGGTACGTAAACCAGCGGATAATTTAGAGAAGTCGCTATTCAACAGTTCAGCTCCTTTATGTTTTTAAAATCGTCAGTATTTCCAATCGAATGGCGTTTAATGAAAGACAAACAATAGTTGAGAAATCACTGAATTTTCTTGCATCAAGTGATAATTTTTCCATCAAGTGATAATGTTTCCATCAAGTGATAATGTTTCAATCAAGTGATAATGTTTTTTTGGGTTTTTTTTTTATTACAAGATATCAGTTTATATTTCTGAGATGAGGTATTATGTACACTATTTACATTATTCGGACGGTTGTCCTCATCTTTTTTGCCATATTCATTACAACGTTTCGGCCTTTCAGTATCTGTATATATTTCTGAGATGAGGCATTATGTACACTATTTACATTATATTGTCCAACAAATAAAAATGTCGTCATTTTTATTATAAGGACACATGGCACAATGGATAAAGGTGTTAATTAGTTCCAGTGACAGGACCCAAGAGTGTGAGTTCAATACCCGGTTAAGGTAGTGGATAACTTGGAAAGAGTAATTAACAGGAGATAACTGACAAGTGACTTCCATTAAAACATGGCACGTGGAACTAGAACAATCTACGCCAGTGAGAGAAGTAAAGGGTTCAGCTCGACATTTGAACCACCTGAAGAAGGCCAGAGCGTACAACGGCCGAAACTTTGTAATAAAAATGGCGACAAAGATGAGGACAATAGTTCGAATAATGTAAATAGTGTAGATAAAAAGAAAAGAAGAAATTGGGAGCTGTCTACCTGCCCGACTCCCATTTAGACAATAATTGTTGACTTGGTGCAGAGGGAAGCAGTTCTGCTTCAATTCTAAAAAGTTGGAATGTGGAAATAGAAAGTTAATGTTAACATTATTCGGTACATCTCTTTTCCGTTTATTCAAATTACAACACAAAACAAATTAGCACATCTACACATAGAGCATATCACTTTAGAAATGTAATTCGTACGATAAACAATCGTTTCTATACACATGGCTTGTTTATAGAGAAAGGTCTCCGCGGAAGTAGCTGACTCTTTTCTATGAGCCCGATCAGTCCATATTCGAACAATGTTGATGCCAAATGAGAATCTTCAAAGCAGGCTGCTGCAGATACTACTAAGGCGGTTAAGGATTACTCAAATAGGGTTTCTATCTATCTATCTATCTATCTATCTATTTCAATCTGTTCACTATCCATCTATCTATCTATCTCAATCTGCTCATTATCTATCTATCTATCTATCTATCTATCTATCTATCTATCTATCTCAGTCTGTTCATTATCTATCAATCTATTCATTATCTATCTATCTATTTCATTCTGTTCATTATCCATCTATCTATCTATCTCAATCTGTTCATTATCTCTCTATCTATCTCAGTCTGTTCATTATTTCATTCTATCTATTCATTATCCTATCTCAGTCTTTGATTATCTATCTATCTAAATATCTACCTATCTGTCTGTTCATTAGCTATCTATCTATCTTTCTATCTATCTCAGTCTGTTCATTATCTATCTATCTATCTATCTACCTATCTATTTCAGTCTGTTCATTATCTATCTATCAATCTCAATCTTTTTATTACCTCTCACTCTCTCTCCACACACACACACATATTCATCTACATGGATATCCCATTATATATCTATTTGTTCTGTTCATATATTTGGGCCTTGTATATGGTGAATATTAGTAAAAATAAATAAACAAATACATCTTCTATAAGTTTCAGTGGTCTGTTTTGCACTTGTTTTCTTTTCATACTTACTATTGTAAGTTCTGAAAAAATTAAATCATTTCTTTCAGTTCCATCCCCACCCGTAATATTTTGAGACGGCACTCATATTCTTTTTCAAATTTTTCACCGAGGCACGGTTTTTATTTGTTTATTAAACTTATATATATTTGAACTGGCACGCTTATTTTATAATTTGAAAATTTTCTATCAACAAGACCATTCTCTCCGGTACTTGTATTTGGTATAAAAGAGTTTTCAGGAAATTTATAGCTGATGAATTTTTGGCATCTATGCTCAGCATTCTTCATTCCTTGTTTAATCATTCCTTGGTCTTGTGCTTCTTATTATTTAAACTTTTGAAATCATTTCATTTACATAACATTATATTTACTTACTCCGCCATATTTTTCTTCTGCACGTACTTCAAACTTTCATGACATTCATATGATTAATTTTGAAAGTTTTTCTTCATCTTCATAAGAGAAATTATTTTGGTTTTTATCCATTTCCCACTTGGGGAATTATTTTACATTCTTATCCATTTCACACTTTTTCTTATTTTTAAACACTATTCTTCTTGCCTCTCAACAAACGTTTTGTTTTTCAACTCCGCAGCTTATCTTATCATGATCTATCCACAATTCATGCAAGAATTTTCTTTTTATATTCCAGATATTATTAATCATTTTTAGGCTCTGGTAAAATACCATGGAATCTATTTCAAAGGATCAAATTGTCAAGGTTCATTAGTGTTATTATAAAGAAAGTTACAGGAACTCGAGTCAACAAAATGTCATCATTTGAGCTTCCGTTAAAACGGTGGAGAATTAAAACGATCGCTAAAGACTGTCACTCTAAGCATAACTGTTAGTTCCTTATTGAACTCTTTTAGACTATGTACACCTTTGTGCAAATTAATTGAAAATAAACGAATAATTCCATTATCATTTACTTTTTTCCGTATTTTTCCAATGAAACATGACCCAGTGCACATGTTAGTATTTAGTATGTCCATTCCATGAAGTCGTTCCTTGCAGATTGACCAGAGATTTTCGATTGGATTTAAATCAGGATAGTTTCCAAATCAGTTTATAGTACTTTGATTTGCTCACTGGTAATGCTTGCCATTGTGTTTGTGCAACGTTACAAATTTCCGAACGTTTCCTTGGAGTAACATCCATCGCAGATATTGGCCATAAGACAACTAATCAACAGTCGAGACAATAGTGTCTGGATGTGATAAAAATCTGATACAATCATGGATGACGCAATATTTTTCAAGGACAAACAAATTTCATCAAACACCCCGAAAATAGATTCGTATTACACCACTGCAAAATGACTTAATCTGAGGAAAAAATAGAAATCGATTACACACTGTCACTCCAGTGGGTCTAAAAATGACTGTATGGTGAAAGAAAAGAAACTAAAGCAGCTTCAATTAATTTGCACAAGGATGTATATTTCTAAGTCTGCATGTAACATCTTGCTTGGTTCATCCTTGAGTTTAAGTCATTTTTCACTAACTTACACCGAAATCTCTACAAAAAGATGTATGAATATTTAGGCTAATGTTGGTCTAACCCCAAAAGAAAACGAAACAGTATTGGGTGAAATCAAACGAATTCTTGCAATTGTCTTTGCTCCAATATCAGCTTCTCTCCTTTTTTTTTTCTCTCTTTATTTTATTTTACTTTCTTTGTATCCCTCACTTTTTTCTCCGTCTTCTGTTCGTTCTTTTTTCATTGATTTTTCAAACTTTCATTCGTTTTGATTTTTTACATCTTTCCTTCTCTTCAAAATAATTCTTTTCATTTCTTTCCTTGCTTTCCTCTCTTTAATATTCCTTTTGTTTCCTTGTGCGCATCAAATTCTCAAAATAATTATCCTTTTTAATACGTTGATTCACGTTCACATATTGGTTCACATAAGATCACCGAAGTTAAGTCCCACCGAGGTTGGTCAATACCTAGATGGGTGACCGCTTGAGAATATTAGGTGCTGTAAACTTGGATATGTGGTTGGTGTAATGGATAACAATCCGGAATTGAAAAACGGAGAGCCGAGTTCCAATTCCAGGCGGGTTTGTTACAGTTACTTAAACGCAAATACCATTGGGAAAGTTATGGATCCATCTCTTCTCCTCCCCACTATGGGTCAATTAGTAAAACTTGTATCATTCAATCATTATTATCACCAAAAGATACTTGCAATATAAATATATTTCTGCCTTTAAAAAATCTGCAAAAGGTTGATATGCCATAAAACAAATCAACCTTTTTCTCTTTTCTTCTTCTTCTTCTTCTTATTATTATTATTATTATTATTATTATTATTCGTCTTCTTCTTCTCCATCAGCTTATTCTCTTCTTCTTCAGCTTTACAGTTTATTTTTAATATCTTGCACTCAGCATCATAGATTTCTTTTTTTTATTATTATCTTATCCGTTTTAAGATGTCAAAATTTCATGGCGCACCAAGCCATTTTCCCTTGTTCGATTTAAATGGAGTCCAGGTGCTGGGTCAATAAAAACTTAAAATTGAAAATCCAATTCGCCTTCCTCTTAACCTCTGGAGTCATTTTTCAATTGTAGGTGATTTTAATGCGGAGTTAGAATCGAAAAACAAATCAAACTTTCTCCTTTCTAACATTTCAGTGAAATTTGAAAAAAAATCATAAAAAACTAACAACTTTATTGCTGTCTTTGTTCAATTGGGTTCATAAATTAACCACCGATTATCAAATCAATTTTGCTACCCAGCGTTTATTCTTATTGAAAGATTTATTTTCTTTTTGCAAATTTTCGTAAGCAGTTATTTACAAATACAAACTAAAAAACAATTAAATCCACAAGGAAAGCATCGATAATTTAAAAGATTCCGGCACAAAAACTAAAATCCTGTTCCAGATACATACACACACAGACACACACACATATATATATGCATAATTTAACAGATAAATCCTGTTGAGCACACATACAAAAACACACGCATTCAAATATAAACACACATATACAAACAAATACGCACACACACACACATATAAAGAAAGAGAGATAAAATAAAGTTTTAAAGGTTTTCCTTTTGTTTTTATTCATACATATATATATATATATATATATATATATATATATATATATATATAGTGTATTATAAATACTTTTACAGACTTTGGGATCGGTTTTCCCACACCAAAATTAAGACAAAAGTCCATATAAAAATAAGTTCACAAATCCTTCATTTTTGAGTTAAGTTTAAAGAAAGTTTACGGCAGATGACGCTGTGTGGCCATGTAGACTATGTTACATTTGTCATTCGTGTACATTTTTGCTTAGTTTGTCTTCAACGTTTAACGTGTGTAGTAGTAAGTTAACTGAGAAGTGTCTCGTTCAACAACGGCAGAATATTAATATCGTGAGTAGGCAAATATGATTTTTACATATGGCTGCGCTAATAGTAATGGACGCGAACCTGCACGGCTGAATCAGATTGTGTTTCCAGATTGAAAGCTGCCAAGCCATTCAACTTATATATATATATATATATATATATATATATATATATATATATATATATATATATATATGCGTGTGTGTTGTGTGCGGTTGCATGCATAACAGTTTGTATCTCTGGGTTTCATGCTTTCGCTGGTTTATTTTTTTAAAAGTGTATCTATTTATGGTTTGTTTGATCAAAGCCGTCCTCACCTACCCCCCTCCTACTAAGAGAAAATTGCTACATTGTGAATCGCTACAATCTTGACACCGAAAGAGACAAAATGAAAATTGCATAAATATGTGTACTCGTACGTATTAATGTGCAACTAAGCCTAAGCCCAAATTATGTATATGGGTGTGTATGTACGAACTAACATGCATACGCCTGTATACATGTGTGTCAATGTATATGTGTGTCATTCCAAACAAACACAGAGAATCAAATAATCAGACATAAATAAAGCATAAATAGAACCATTTTTGAAAAAATAAACCATTTTGTCTGACGTTGGAGAAAGCATGAAACCTGGGGTTACAAAATACTGTCTATGCAACCGCATATATTTACTCTGTCACGGATATTGAGCACTTTCCAATAAATACCGCGCATACGTGCGCACACGTACAAGCACACACACACACATATATATATATATATATATCGACTGGAATTCGAACTCGGTTCTGCGATTCCTCAATCCAAGCCGCTATCCCTTACTCCACCTTGCCTCATTCACTTACGTGCTAATACCCTTGGGAAAGGTAAGAATCCTCTTCCTCTCCCTTCAGCTATGGGTAAAATAGCAGGACAGACTGGGTTCTATAGCCTTGGATGGCAACTGGTCTAGGAGAAGGACAACTCTGAATTCAAAACCTGCGGAGGGTCTGTATTCGTCCCTCCAAAAAGTGTGGATTGTCCTTCACAAAGCCTTCACCACTATAATCAAATCTCATGTGCCGATGTCGGGCTGTCGGTTTCCTGGAAACTGATCTGCTTGACCCTCATACGTCGAATCTCAACGGGAGAGTCGATTATATATATATATATATATATATATATATATATATATATATATATATATATACAATGCGCTGAATAAATTGTCGTCTAAATTACTTGAAAATGAAAATTACATTGGCATCTCATTTCAACGGATATATTTATCAAAATTACACAAAACAATCTTGAAATAGTAAAGAGTAAATTTATTCCGTAAAATCGCCATTGGCTTCAGCCACAGCCTCCATTCAACTTCACAATCTCCTGCATCTCTTCTGAAATTCTCCTTGTTTAAGTTAGTCAATGCTGCCATAATCTTTGTTTTCAGTTCATCTTTGGTGCTACAAGTAGTTTTGTTGATCACTCGTTCAACTGAATGCACATATTAACTATCAAAGAAATTTCAATTTGGGGAGTTATGTGACCAGATAATACTTTAGGTCTAGTCACTGGATCTAACCAACGTCTTCATAACTGAAACATCCGGAAGAGACATGGCACGTGGAACTAGAATTATCCACCCCGGTAGACAGAATAAAGTGTTCGGTTCGAAATTCCAATTACCTGAAGAAGGCTGGAGCGTACAACGACCGAAACGTTGTGATTATGGCAGTGAAGATGGAGATGACAGTCCGAATAATGTAAATAACGCAAGTAATCATAATACCTCATCTCAGAGATATAGATAGATATTGAAATCATGCTGGTTAAATATATTGTTTGTATTGCCTTGCATGGGGTGAAACGAATAAAATAAAAAATAAAAATAAATATGGTCTAGGTTGCCAGTTAGCTGCCCTGAGATTTGAACGAAATCTGTTAATCACACGAGCATTTTTAGTTCCATCTCTGTAACCTGGTTTTAGATATTTATGAGAAAACGGATTATATGTACGAATATTAAAGTCCTTTCTACCCACACACACACACACATATATATATATATATATATATATATATATATATATATATATATATATATATATATATATATATATATCCACCACACTACTATCTACGTAACTATATTTCAACTTTTGGTATCAGTCAGTTAAGTGCCATACGTGATACACGCTTGGGCGATCATGTTTCTTTCGATACATGACTGACTCGGCATATTTTTTTTTTTACTGCAATAGGTTTGCCATTTCTTTCTGCGTTAGACTGCCAACCCAGTTTGTCCTGCTATTCAACCTATAGCTGGAGGTAGAAGGGATGGATATTTGTGCTTAAGTAAATCTAATGAACTCGACTGGAATTCGAACTCTGTTCTCCGAGTTCTTACTCCGAGCCGATATCCATTACATCACAGCGCATATCCAAACTTCTGGTATAGAAGACTTTAATTGCTAAAATTTGTTTTCCTGAAGAGAAGCTGTTAAATCCTGTACGTGTTTACATCGTGTTATCATTTTTTAACAAACTGCAGCTTCCTCCCTATGACCCTCATCGTGAATTCATGTTTATTAGTTAGTTTCTATTAAAACAAGAAAAAAAAACAAGGAATATCTGTTAAGTCTTTTCGCAAATTTTTCCTAGCGTCGAACGAATCGTTTGTCCTCAGATTCAAACTGAATATTTTGAAATTGATTTGCAAATTTGCAATCTAGAATGAGGCTTTTACATCGGTTCGAACACCGACCATTAACACCAGCGTTAAATACCCTTAATCGCCTCACTAATCATTATAGGGAATGAAATAAGATGCTCTGGCGGTTCCATCTATCAACAACATCAATATGCAGTGCAGTCAATAAGACTTCGAATATTACTTCTTGTAAGAAGCCTAACAGATTATTTGATATTCAATGAAGCTTTTAATACTTAAAAATGTCAGATTTCTTTGCTAAGTGAGATAAGAGTTTTATATTTCCAAGCAGTAATGAAAAACTGAATAATAAAAAAATGTTCCCTTCTCATATTTGGCAGATTCAATCGGGAAATCAATTATTTTTAAAAGGGAGACACTAAAAATTAAAATGAAAACATTTATTTGGAATTTAAAACATTCACTTTTTGTGCATTTGTTTTATTGATTGTTTTTTGTACTAAAATAAAACATTAACGTTTTTCAAATTTTAAATTCATTCTGTGGGATATTTTATTTTTCTCCTGAGTGACATTTGATTTAATCTTAAATTGTTGAACACATTTCGTTAAAAAATAAAAGAGCTTTATTCTCTTCCATAAATACAGAGACTAAGAGGTAAAGTCCAAAGGAACCTGAAAGCCCCAAGCAGCACCCCCCCACACATTTTATTAAAACTTGAAATAATAGAGATAATGCCTGCGACGCCCAAATAGGGAAATATAATGAGATTGAGCAACGTTTACTCCTAGTGCCATATGTGGGATTCTTACTTTAAATCCAACCTCGTACCATGACCATTCAAGTGGGCGAACAAACAAATTTTATTCAGAGGAGAGGGACAGTTATAATAAAACGGAACTCGGGGTGGCTCGGATTGATAACAGAGACCTAGGTGCGATTAAATATATATTTATTTACATTCAGCAGCCATTACAATAATGGGGACAGGAAGTGCGTCTTCTAAGGGCAGTTAATACCCGGAAACACTAAAGAACAATTGAGATTGCGATCTAAGAGTCTCGACATGCAAATACAAGGGCCAGTTGCACATGCTACCACGACCCCCTTCCCCTTTAATGTACTTCACTGTCGTTTCTGTAGTTGTGCTTCCTGCAAACAACGTCGTCGCTGATGTCGGGCATTGTAGCAACATGGTCTGGGGGAGCTAATTTCGATTGGAGTTTCCTGAAACAAGTGTGTTCGATCCTTGTCACTTGTACCAAATTTATTTGTTAGATTATTCAAATTTATTTTGCATTTGAAAATCAACAAAGCAAAATAAAGCGTAGAAACAGTTTTTGTTCTGTACAAAAAGATTCTTTTTTGACGACTCAATATTTTTTTATTTTTTTTTTTATCTCAATAAAGATGAATAAAATCTTTATTAGCAAAACAAATCGAGTAACGCATTTTACTTTATCTATGAACAAAAAATATTTCAGAAATTAAAATGAGATTTGTTAAACTTTCTCATATATATTTTTTCAAACTATCCTCCTTATTTTGTTCGGTTATAGATTTCTTCTTCTTCTTCTTCTTCTTCTTCTTCTTCTCCTCCTCCTTCTTCTTCTTCTTCTTATACTCCTCATCCTCCTCCTCCTCCTAATTTTCTTCTTTTTCTTTTTTCTTCTTCTTCTTCTCCTCTTCCTCCTCCTCCTTCTTCTTCTTCTTCTTCTCCTCCTCCTCCTTCTTCTTATACTCCTCATCCTCCTCCTAATTTTCTTCTTTTTTTTTTCTTCTTCTTCTTCTTCTTCTTCTTCTTCTTCTTCTTCTTCTTCTTATCCTCCTCCTCCTCCTCCTAATTTTCTTCTTTTTTCTTCTTCTTCTTCTCCTCCTCCTCCTCCTTCTTCTTATCCTCCTCCTCCTCACCCTCCTCCTAATTTTCTTCTTCTTCTTCTTCTTCTCCTTCTTCTTCTTCTTCTTCTTCTTCTTCTATGTTCTGTGTCTCCTCAAGACGTAGGCGATCATGGCTTTCCATAATTTCCTGCCCTTTTTATCTCTTACTAAATTCTGTCTTTTTCTTATTTCTCTTAAGTCCTGTCCTGTCACCCATTCACTCGAGCTCGCTCGTTAGGTTATACGTTGTTTTCTTTTGAACCCACTTGTCTTCAATCTGTCCTGTGAGTATCAAATTTTCCAAGCCTTCTTTCCACCTTATGTATCCTAGAAATTTCCTCTCTCTTCTTGATGTTAAATATAAGTTTCCTTTTTGTTTTTATTTCCTCTAAAACTTCGTCGTTGTTCACATGTTCAGTTCATGGAATCCTCAGAATCCTTCTGTAGAATCACATTTCTGTTGCTTTAAGTCTCTTCTTCATCTTTGAGGAATTTATCCAACATTCACTTCCATATAGAAGAACATATATCACGTAACAGTTCAGTACTCGTTTTCTGTAATGTCGAAACGTCTTACTGCCTCTTCTGTTCCTTTTCAGTGATTCTCCATACAAAATTAATTTTCAGTCACACAACACTAATACATTGGCCAATCGGTTGAACTCATTGAGTCGAATAGTGTTTCGTGTTATCGAACAACGTTACAGTAAATGGTTTGCTTGAACGACTCACTGGAATGGAAAACATCAATGACTCATTAAGGCGTTTCCTTAATAAGACGATACACCACACGGCTCAGAATATGGCCGTGAGAAAATATAACGTATAGTAGTCATTAATATTCATTAACATTCATTGATATTCATTAACATTCATTAATATTCTTTAACATTCATTAATATGCCTAATTTTCTATCTTTTCTGTGGAGCAAATTATTAGCATTTTGTAAATTGGAATACTCTCTTGAATCATTTAATAATATTAAAATTCCCAAATTTTTTGACAAAATATCTCATTCAAATAAATGTTTAGAATAATAGTATTTTCTTGATTTCCTGATCAACCTTTCAGCTAAACTGTGTATTTTATTACAAAAGAACGATACCCGTTGTGATTTATCTACTTTTTCGGAGAGGTTTTATCTTCAATTTATTTAAATTTCCGAACAGTTGCATAGATGACAATCTAATGGTAACAGGCGTTCCGAATGAGCTGGACGTGAAATAATTTCCTATAGCAGCACCGTCAGTGTTCGCTGCATCGCCTTTGCAACACAAGGGCAGGATTTATTATGTCGTAAAATTATCGATCGTCTTTCTTGCGAGGAAATCGTTTTCTCTTCCAGTTTATTATTATTTACTGTACTTTCAACCAATAACAGCAACTATTTCGTAATAAAAACAAAATTCCCTTTAATTTCCATTAAGCGCAGAGAAGAAAAAATAAATTCCGTTTCAGCTTTGGAGTTGAAATGTTGAAGACTCTTTTGTAGTGAGGTAGGATTGTCTTCGTTTTGGATTACCAAAATAAATCTATTCTTCATCGCCATTTTCTTCAAAGATACCTTTTTTTTTTCTATGTTAAACAAAAAGAAAAAGATAATTATTTCACTGATGACTGATATCTTTTTGTTCATTTATCATTAATATTATTTTTCATACGTCAGAAATTTTGTAAGAATTGTAAACAACATACAATGATTCAAATGGCCTTCTCAGATTTCCCTAATACTGTAGCGTAGATAGCGCTGGAAACTTTTGAATTGAAAAATGATCCATTTCGTCTTGCGTCTTTATCTTTACCTATATATTTCTGGTCACGATATCTGGTTCCCCAAAATATAAAGGCTTACCATTTATAGCTTCAGTAAATGCAACAGATTTTAAAAGTAGAATATTTACGTTGAATAGAGCGAAGTCTTCTCCATTAGCCATAAATTTAGACAGATATACGAGCCCGCCCGAACAGTTGGTTTTCACACATTGCTAAAACGTATTTTCCACATCCAAATTGTGCTCCGTTGACTGTTTAGTCTCGATAAGCAATCAGCATGCGACGATGATATAAAAACTTCACCAAGAGAAATCTAAAAACGTTGCAACGACGATGTAAGCAGCGGGCAATAGCTGGATGCGGACCGCCCTGCATGGCACCGAATGATTTATACTGAACTAGAAAAATATCGAAGACACGAGAGGCTAACAAATTACCAGCGAGTATCGGGGCCGGAGAAATATGCCATCATGCGATTCAGAGACAGCCAGACGTGGATAAATCTCCTCCTCTCTTCGTCGATGACGATCCTTACCATGGATGATTATATAATAAAATTGCAGACATTAATTTAGAATCGAAAAAGTTGAAAATAGTTTTCCATTTATCAGTCGTGAGGGATGCAGAATTTTAAATATATATATGCAGTAGAAAGGAGGAAGAAACTGCCCTTAGTGTTCATTGAAGTATTAAAAGTGAATAACTGAGTTAACCAGCAAATGTAGATAGATATACGTTGCCCTGGTTGTCAGCCATATTTGGAAATCACAATGTCTTCGCTCAAGGCAAAGCTCCCATATACATGGCTAACTGGTTGGTTGGTTTTCTACGGCTTATCAACTCTTTGCAGCATTATTTACATTATTCGGACTGTTATCCTCAACTTCAGTGTCATATTCACGACGTTTCGGCCATTGTACGCTCCGGGCTTTATGTCTATGTCTCTCTATATATCTGTCTTTATCTCTTTATTATTTACATTATTCAGACTGCTATCCTCAACTTCAGTGCCATATTTACAACGTTTTGGCTGTTATACGCTCCGGCCTTCTTCAGGTGATTGGAATTTCAAACCGAACCCTTTATTTCGTTCAGCAGGGTAGATTGTTCCACGTACCATGCCTCTTCAAGTTGAGGATAACAATCCGAATAATGTAAATAATAAAGAGATATAGACAGATATAGAGAGTGATATAGATATAAAGGCCGGAGCGTACAACGGCCGAAATATTGTGAATATGGTAGTGAAGATAATGATAACTGTCCGAATAATGTAAATAATGCAATTAATCATAGTACTTCATCTCAGAGATATACACAGATATATAGAGAGACATAGACATAAAGGCCGGTGCGTACAACGGCCGATACGTTGTGAATAAGGCAATTAAGATGAGGATAACAGTCCGAATAATGTAAATAATGCAAGTAATCATAATACCTTATCTCAGAGATATAGACAGAAATTTTCTGTAGGTTATTTAAGACAGAAAATATTTTTAAATTGTAAGAATTTTCTTTTTAAATGATTTAGTGATACAAGTCTTAATAATAAACCCATAGCTGGGACGAAGTGGTGAACTCATAACTTTCCCAGGGTCATTTTGCGCTTACGTGAATATTGTTAGACATTTTCATGACGGTCGTCTTCGAGTATAGAATCCAGAGGTTGGCAGTGAATATTTCGGAGACAGCCGTCATGAAAATGTCTAACATAGGTTATGAGCCCAGTACGCATTCCAAAGCGTAGTGCACGTTCGCAGTGGATATCGCAGCAAAGTAGCAGAGCGTAGTTCTTCCGTCTGTCATGTTCGCCGGAAAAGTTGCCTCTGGTCCTTCCGGGTAGGAAAACAAAGATGGCCGCCTTTATACACGACGGATACAGTGTTGTGCGGCTTCTGATTGGTCAACCTTCTATTGGTAGACTATAAAGGGAAATAAGTCATTTTGACTCGCTCACTAGTTATGTACCTATATACGCAAAAAAACTGTAACAAATATAACGAACCCAAAAGGAATTAGAACTCGTCTCTCCGATTAACAATTCCGAGTCATTATCCATTATACCATCCGAACCTAGAAGTTTACATCACCTGGCATTCCCAAGCGGTTACCATTTACATAGAGACCAGGATCGATGTTGCTTAACTCGGTGATCGTACCGGAGCTGATGTTTCGACGTGATATGCTCTAAGTCCGATGAATTATACAAGTCATCGCAATGCCATAATTAATCGGATTCTATTTCATATGGGATCTTTTTTGTGTCGTTCCCCTTCAAGATGTCGGCAACACTGGTGGCTTAAAAATTCCTTATCTTTTGAAAGTAAGGTTTTTCTCCTCCTTTCTATTACATAACAGACGAGGAACTTTTTTACTGGTTTGTTTCTACGAAATTTTCCTGTTTCTTAATACTTTGTTTAGCTTTTGAAAGGCATCTTTCGCTATAACAATGTGCTTTCGGATTTCAGTTTCACAATTCTAGTCGCCAGTTATATGATCTTATCAATGAAGAAATGATTACGTCCCAATAGCCGGTGAGATACCCGACCATTTAGTCGCGTCACGATCTTTGTCTCACTGACTAAAATTTGTTTATTCATGTAAGGATCCTTTTCAACTACTTGAAATATTTTTTTTACTGCTTTCGTTTTTTTTTGTTTTGTTTTTTTCATCGTTAATTTCTGCCCTGACTGAACCATCTTCCAGCGTTTCGATGTTCATGCGCGTATTCGAGTTTATTTATAGGCAACCGTCTGCATCGTTATACTTTTGTTGAAAACACTTTTTTATTTGCTGAAGCTCGACAATTTGGACTTCAAACCATGTTTTGAAAACACCAAGAGAAGTCCTCATTATCAATGATTTGCCAGGGTTTTTTTTTTGTTGTTGTTGTTGTTGTTTTTGTTTTTTTGGGGTTTTTTTTGCGCTCAGAAATGCGCAAATGAGTCAGATCTACTCGGTGGTAAATATTTACTGAATGGAAAAAAATTGTCAAATAGATTAGTGGGAATTCATGAAGAAACGATTTCGAAATAATGACTGGAAAATGTATGACTCGTCTACTGATTATTTTTATTTAACTTCTTTCTTTTGATTCAAAAGTTTCATAATGTTCTGCGTATTAATAATGAATTCATTGATAGTTACATGGTTAAGGTTTCTATATTGTTGAGTCGTCAAAGATAATTCTAGAGTCAAAGAATTATAACTCTAATGTTTAAAATTAAAACTGGCATTAAAACAACGGAAAAGAATAGCAAAAAGTTCACATTACCGTAAAGTGGTAATATCGAAAAGTAAACAAATTAACCGAATAGAAAAACAAGAACTGCTTAACCGGCTTATTTTTCCTCTCTTACCGGATCTCATTCGAGTGAGAAGGAGAGAGAGAAAGAGAGAGAGAAAGAGAGGGAGAGAGATCTGCACAGTGAGTATATAATAAATATATAAACATCAAAAGCTAATTATTTTTTAGCCTAAAGGCCACCGCTTCTGCTTGCAAAGGGATGGCTGGAAGGACTTAAAATAAATTTACACTAAAACTTTAAATTCTTCTTCTTACCGAGTCTCTACATTACACCTATCCAGTGTTACACACAGAGCCTTGCCTGGGGTGTTATGGTTTCAAAGTTGTTAAGTGTGCACGAATCTTCAATATGTTCCATAGTTTGTATTTGCCCGCAATCACTTTAAAATAAAAACCAGAATTAGTCTTACTCAATTAGTCTCTTGGCTATAAAACCTGGTACATTGATAGTTATTTAAGAGATGCTCAACTACTTCTGATGTTGCTTATTTAAATCAACATGTATATTTTTCGACTGCGGTCTGATGATTAAGCAATGACAAACCTCTTAAACTGTTTCTGTTTTTTGTTCATTTATTTACTTTTCGATTTTACCATTTTACGGTAATGTGGACTATTGCACAATCTTGAGTCAGTTCAGTAACAGAACAAATAAAGATGAGATTTCTCGTGATAATAATTTAACCTTAATGTCAGACAACTCTAAGAAAGTGGCAAGTGGAAATCAACCGAACCTAGATATTAGTACGAAATATTCGTAGAATAATGAAAATTATTTTGCTAGGAAATTTATAGATCGCAGTGACAAAAGCTGAAGAATTCGGAATAATTAATGGAAGGCGAGGGACTATTGAAACATTCTCACCCGATACTACTTAGTAAAATTCTGCCAAACATCAGAATTTTTAAAATCTCCTTTTGGCTGAACCAAAAACGTATCAGCACTGCCTTGTAACATCAACGCTCCATCTAAACTGATTATTTACAGATTTGTTTGTTAATAGCGTTTAGAGCTTTAGTCGCGTTTCATTGATCCTTTTGCATTTAATCTTTGAGATTAACTGCCACGATACTTAAATATATTTGAATTCTTCTTTTCACCTAGGTTGTTACAGACGTTATTATTATTATTAATCAATTTCACCCCAAGCAAGGCGAAAATGTAACTAGAACGCCGGATTTTATAGGCAGTTAAAGTCAAAGAGAATAAGAAGTTTTGGCAATAAGGAAAGGTGAAAAAAGGAACACGGTTCAAAGAAACAAAAGATGGCGACTGACGTTGCATTTAACTTTTATTTTACATTGTAGTTATCCAGGAAGCAAGAAATAGGAAAGGAGTTCCACAGGCGGGAAGTGCGCGAAAAAACTTTTAGAGTAGAAATGATGGTTGCATCTAGCTAGTTCAATAGTAAAAAGGTGAGACCTAGTTGCTAATCTAGTAGTACGCTTAAATTCATGTAGTCGGGCACCAGGGAAAAACACGTCTAAACAATCGCCATGAAAATATTTTTAGAACAGACACAGAAAGCCACGTCACGTCCGTTAGAAAGTGACTGGAGACGAGATGCTTGAACAGGATTGAGAGATATAATGTTTCAGCCAAGTACCTTCTGACCTTTTTCAGTTTTCCATTGTTGTTGTAGAGTACGAAATGTTTTTCTTCCTCCGTATGAGAACGAATCCCTCGTCGCCAAAGTTGTTATAGAGTCGTTTCACAGTGGAGGCTTGTATTTCACTAAGTCGGTCCTTAAATAGGTTCGACGTACAAAACATTAGGAACTTGATATAATAGTTAATGACGCAGCAATCTAGTTGTGGTGGCTGATACTTTAATGTCCGACATCGACTGGCTGAGCGACCCTAGCGACTGCTACTACTACTTATTATAGGTGGGAGAGTCTATTAACTATAGAATAGGTGTTCCAGTATAACAATTGTTTATGTCTAATATGAGATATATGTTAAATATTGTATTATTTTCTTCCTGTGATTCCAGTTGTTAAACATTTTTTTCTCTACCGGACAGAAAGGTTAAAGACATGACCATGACAAATAGTAAAATATTTAGCTAACTCAATAGCCACAATGGCACCGACGTCAATTTATTCGAATTATTATTTGATGGTTTTTCTCAGATTCATTGAATATCAAAGAGATATATTTTTTTATCTCAAACGTTTTGTCTTTTTCTCAAGGTTCCCAACAAATAGAAAGCTTTTAAGCGTTGAATGAAGAAAAGCTTAGATCACAGATTCTTTTTTGACAGTCATTCTTTTTGGTCACTTTTATTGGCAAAACGAAAGAAAGATTTCCTGATAAAAAAAAGAAGCAAACATGATCATTAGATCCAATAAAAGTATTTTCATGCAGTAAACATTTGTAAAATCGTGACGAGAAATCATTCCTAGAAAAAAAGAACCCTAGACTTGCATAAGTAATTGGATGGGAAAATTGATTTGGTTTTTACAGGTTATCAACCTTTTTGCAGGTTATTTAAAGCCAGATTTTTTTTAGATTGTAAGAATCTTTTGAATACAAGTCATACTAATTAACCCATAGTTGTGGGGAGAAGAGATGTATTCATACCTTTACCAATGGTATTTGCTCTTAAGTGAAAATAAAAAACCCAACTGGAATAGGAAATCGGCTCTCCGAGTTACGAATTCCACTCCGTTATCTATTGTACCACCAGCATATCCGAGCTTACAGCACCTGGTATTACGAAGCAGTCACCCATCCAGGTAAGGACCAAGCTGGACGTTTCTTAACTTCGGTGATCGCACGAGAACCGGTGTTTCAACGTGATAGTCGGTGTTGATGCGAAAAAAAGTATCATTTACGTTAAGACCAGTGTCCGAATTTAGTGTTTCTATGCAGTATTCGGCTTTTTTAAATGTTTTATTTTTTCAAGATGAATACCAATATAAAAAGTATAGTTTCTTTGTTAGCAAGGAAATATTTATTGGTATCTATAAATGAAAATAAGACATTACTACGAGATATATAGCGGCGATTATAAAACGAGAAAGATTTCTCGTAAACAATCTATTAATAAAGGTTAAGGCAACAACAGTTAAAATACAAGCAAACAAAAGAAAGAGATAAGAAAGAAAGAAAGAAAAAGAAAGAAAGAAAGAAAGAAAGAAAGAAACCAACAAAACAGAAAAAAGTAAATTCAAAATGAAGAAAAAAGAAGTAAATGCAATATAAAAGAAAGAATGAAAGCAAACAAGGAAAATAAAGAAAGAAAGAAAAACGTAAACTTACAAAAAAAGAAGCAAATAAGAAATTTTCAGAAATAAGGACGAAAAAAAGCAAATAAGGAAAAGAAAGAAAGAAAGAAAGAAAAAAAGAAAAAAAGAAAGAAAGAAAGAAAGAAACCGACAAAACAGAAAAAAGTAAATTCAAAATAAAGAAGAAAAAAGAAGTGAAGGTAGTATAAAAGAAAGAAAGAAAGAAAGAAAGAAAGAAAGAAAGAAAGAAAGAAAGAGCACAAGGAAAAGAAGTAAGTAAATAAATACATAAAGAAAGATAACTAAATAAATATAATGACGAGAAACTTTAGAAAATAAAAAAAAAACGAATAAAGCAAAGTTGTCTGGTTATGAACATAATAATAAGACAGGAACCAAATGATAGGACAGGAAATAAAATATTCTTACACTTGTGAATACCATTTGTAAACAAGCGAAAAATGTAGCTTTCGTTGATTTTTGAAGAATAGAAAAGGAAAAAATTCCAGCGACTACTTCGAAGCATTTTACGACAAATCTCCGATCATTTAAACAACTTTTCCTGGGTTTTGCAGACAAAC